GAATGCAACAGTAGGCTGGATGTGGTGGTACACACCTTTAATCCCACCATTTGAAAGGTAGAGGAGGGAGGATCTCTATGAGTTCCAGACCAGCCACAGCCAAGGCTACATAGTGAGATCCTGTCACATAGACACACACACACACACACACACACACACACAGCCAGAAAGGGCTGGGCTTGGGGGACGTTTTTATACAGTAGAACTTGGAAAGTTTAATATAAAATTGTTGAGCAACACATATATATGGCAGAATCCTCAGCATTCTTGACCCCATGTTATCCAAGAGGGCATGTTCCACCAGAGGAAACAGATGATACATGTTCTCTGATCAAGCTGTAGTTAACCCTTCTATCTCTGCCTTCCCCTGCAGTACAGAAAAGCATCCAGAGAATAGGAACGGGGAGAATATTAGGGTTATCATCGGCACATTGCCATCCTTACCGGGCACAGGATTTTGCTACAATGGACTGCATCCTCTTTACTTTTATTCTAAATGAAGTCAAGTTTGCCATGTGGAGATGGGAGGAGACACTCTTGGAATCTTGTCAAAATGACCCATGAAATATTAAAGTGTGAGCTGTCTAGACTACTATACATATTTAAGGACTGGTAGGTGGCTTTAGTCAAATGTAGGTTAACATTCCTATGAAGTACAAAATAGCTTAGAGGTCCAACTACTTGGGGTGAATCTTGGTTTGTTCACTTTTTATGTACCCTTGGGGTACATAACCTTTTAAAGTCTGCACTTCAACAGTAGAAGAATAAAGATAATAATAAAACCAACCTCATAGGATTGTTGTAATAACAAGACATGATACTAACAATAAAGTGCTTAGCACAGTGTTGAGCACATAGGGTCAGCAATAAGATTACTGTTATTGAGCTATCCCTCAAGAGTATGCTAAGAAAATTCTTAATTACCTGAAGCAAGCAAAGTTTACAATAGTTATCTTTTGCTGTATAACAAATTGCCTCAAAACTCACAAGCAGATCAGAATCCTGGAAGCAGTTTAGCTGGGCAGTTCAGGCTCATGGTTTTCTGAATGTGGCAGTCAGGCCATCAGATAGAGATGTTGTTGTGTGAAGGTATGAATGGGTCTTCCAGCCTCACTTAGGTGGCTGTTGGCAGAAAGCTTTTGTTCTTTGCTATGTGTGCCTTTTCATAATGGGGCTCACAATATATCAGCTGACTTTTCCTCAAACAGGTAATCAGAGAAAAGGCAGGCAGGACCAAGACAGAAGCCACAAGGTTTCCTATAATCCATTGTCAAAAGGGATATACCATCCCTCCTGCCATGTTCCATTGGTTACACAGAGCAACCTTGCTACAGTGAAGAAGACTTTGTGAAGATTTAAATGTAAGGAAGAGGGATCACTGAGGGCATTTTACTGGCCACCTTTGTCATTAAATGGCTTTCCTGAGTGATATTACATTCAGTTTTTTGAGTGGGGTCTTTTGGGGGAAGATTTTTGTTTGTTTTTGCTTTAATTTTAGAAGACTTTGAAATGATCACAATGGCTTACATTTTACCAGCAACTGAAAAGCATCAGAGTATCAAGACAGCTGTCCGACTGGGGTCTTCTGGCCACTTGCAAAACATGTACTTTAACGAGCCTATGAAGTCCACAGCTGACTTGCTAAACTCTTGACTGTTGAATATTCAAGCTCTGAACTTTCACAAAGTACAGAGGATGGAAGTTGTTTCTGTACATCAGCAAGTAAGAATGGTTAGTGTGGAAGGCACTTTACAAATCTGTATTTATGATGGGGTCTGACTGAAATACAGCAAGAATAAACCATACAACCTGGGAAGTCTAATTCCAGCAGGAAGTTGCTTTGAAATAACATCATACTTCACTTACTCCCCAGCTGATGACCAGTTTGGAAAACAATAAAACGCCCTGTAACTTGCCGTATTTTATCTTTGTACGGTGCTCCCCACTGTTTGATGGTGATTCTAAAAGCGTCTGTTCTTAAAGCAGCCTCAGTACTGATTTAGACACTCTAAGCAGAATCAGAAAAGCTAAATTTCTTAACCAAATAAATGTTCTTATGAGTTGAAAGGTCCTCTTGAAAGATCTCAAAAGAATATGCAGCACTTACTGACTCGGCTTGTAGTCCCAGAATTCAGAAGAAAGTGGTTGGCTAACAGACATTTTGAAATACTTGTCTATCAGAAATATAAAGAACTATAACAAGAAAAGTCCTTTGATGGCTCAGAATCTATTTTATTTTATGTATTTATTAATAGGCACACTTTCACCCCCATGGTAAGAAAAAAGTTGATACACTGAAACAATAAAATAAGTTAAAGATGTGTCTACTTTCACATCTTGGTATTGGTTGAGTCAAACATCTTCCTCTTCCATTCTTTCCTGGTAGAGGCTCTTTCTGTTCCCAGCCTGCGTGGCTAGACTTTGATCTGTGATGCAGAGCCATTCCATTGTAAATGTATGTGCTGCCTTTGATCTGGCACTTAGCTGCTCTTATTTAGAATAGATAGCTTCTTTTAACTATGTAGTATTTACTAGGTCTCTCTCTCTTTCTCTCTCTCTCTCTCTCTCAGATTAAAATGCTATTATTTAGACAGAAAGTTATTTCTTAAGAGTGCCTAGATCTGAATCTTACTCTTTTAATTCCAAAACCTCAACAAGTCTGTTGTAGATTTTGTAAAGCCAAATTGCTATTAAAATGAGCTGCTGTTACAGCTGTTGGATAATGTTGGATAATGCTTGCAAAACCTTTGCTTTTTAATAGAGAGCTGACTTTCCAAAGAATAATAAACATATCCTACACTTAGGCAAAAAGAATCATATCAGGGAGTCTAAACATAACAGCCAATTATCCTTATGAATATTAGTCCAAGTATTAATATACTGTCATATTACTGGATTATAATACCATATAAAGTATACAGAAATGGTAGTTTTAAGAATAAGAAGTATAAAAATGTATTTTTCTTTTTAAGAGAATTTCTTGAACATTATATCAGGTATTTTATGGACTTGCTATTGAGTTTTCTACACTTCAGTCAGTTATTCATTCAATGAACTCAAATAGGACAGGGGCACAAAGACAATTAAGTCACAGATGATGTGAAATCAGAGTATGCAGGTCAGGAAGAGGAGGCAGAGCACCAATAAACAATTATACTCAAGTATGATCAGTACCTCTTGTGGACAGTGGCTCCCCTAGCCTGACTTGGGTATGGTAAGGAAACTTTCCTGGAAAAAGTAACTGAAGGACTTGGCCTCTGAACTCAACATCTATATATTCCTGGCCAAGTCTGAATCACAAAACAAATATCTCTCTGTGCAGAAACTTTCTGGCTTAATACAGGTAGCCTAAACCTTGGATGAGGTCTAAATTTCAAGTGGCTTGCTGCCATATCCTTCTTGCTTGTCATTCAGTACCAAAGAGAGCTCCCCCAACACACATAACTGTTTTCTATACACATTTTAGAACTTCTGCTCTATTCATTTAAAGGATATGTTGGTCAGCTCTCACTATAACAGATATGTGAGAGAATCTACTTAAAAGGAAAAAGAGTTCATTAGACTTATGTGCTCAAAGATTTCAGTCCATGGTCATTTGGCTCTTCTGGTTTGGGGCCTGTGGTGAATCAGAACATCATGGCAGAGAGCATGCAATGTTGAGCAAAGCTACTTACTTTTTAGTGACCAGGAAACAAAAGAGAGAGGGAAAGGGGTCGAGGCCCCAATATTTCCTTCAAAGCAGATCTCTAATGACTTACCTTCCTCCTCCACAAGCCCCATTTCCACTACCTTCCAGTAGCACTGCCTTCTGATATCTGGGGTCCAAGCCTTCAACAAATGAGCTTTCCTGCCTTTAATTGCTTTGTTAGGCTCAAGCAAATGGCAACCATTTTCAAAGCCTTGTCTTGTAATTACTTCCTCCATGCACTGACCATATACAAGCATCTCCAAGCACTGATCTTGGCTTAGGCCCTGTGAAAGTTGCTGTGGATGCATATAAGGGACCTGCCCCCACAAACCCAGGAGTTGGGAGAAGGATAGAAAGAAGTGAGCTGTACTTAACTACACAGTAACTACATTGGAGCATCCCTACTGTCTGGGAGGTTTGAGGTCCAGGAACCTGATCTCAGGGGATTCTAACTGGTTTTGTAGAGATGGGAAGGAGAGGCCAGCCTCTGAAAGACACAAGGCTATAAGTTCCCGCGACAGGGCAGAAAGGTGAATGTAGGGTAGATAGGGTGGAGATGAGGCATACTTGAAGCAGAATTTTTAGCTATTAGAAAAAGAGGTAGAGAGGAAAGAATAGCATCAGGACATGCAAAGCCACATGAGCAATGAGGAAGCAAGGCTAAGTGGATGGAGCGCGACATTGAATTGGGGACCACTGGAAAGAAATATTTTTAGCAGTGCTGGGTTTCAAATCCAGGGTTTTGTATATACTAGGCAAGTGCTTTACCACTGAGCTACATCCCCAGTCTTGTGTCTTTCTCTCTAGCCACCCAAGTACTGGTATTAGAGGCAGATGTCACTGTGTTCAGTGAGTTGCTGAGCAGAGGCTGTCTGTGGCCTCTGTCTTTAGAGGCCAAGTGGAGTATGCTCTACCCAGACTGTATGGACTATGAGCAAAGTGGAAAGGGTAGACCTCAAGAAAATTGGGGCCCTGAGACTAGTCACATTAACTAATGTGAAGGTAAAAATGTGTAAGACTGGCCTGCTCTCACAGAGTGCTACCATGTACCAGATATTCTCCATGCTTTATCTGTATTAAATTGATCTTAACTTCAACCCTACTATAATTGCCATTTTACTAAAAAGGAAATCAAAGTACAGAGAGACTAATTAACTTGTTCAAGGTCTTACATAAGTCAGATTTGAATCCTGGCAGGCTGAATCCAGATCTTGTGTAGACATGTGAACAGAAATGTGCAGAGGCCCACCACAGTGTGGACAGAAGGTGAGATGCTGACTCCATTCATGATTCTTTCTCCTTCCTTCTCAAGTGCTGCCTAAGTAGAGCTGAGGCCAGGCGGGATGCAGCTAAGGTGGCACTCATCAACTCTCTCTTCAATGAGCTGCCCTCCCGCAGGATCACTAAGGAGTTCATTATGGAGAGTGTTCAGGAAGCAGTTGCCTCCACCAGTGTGAGTACCTAAAGCTGACAGAGGAGTTGGCCTCTCTGAGAACACTAAGATGTTTGAATCTTGTGAAATACTAACATAAACAATTCTTAATTTCAATAATATGTAAGCTAAATTTCTGCCCATTAAATCATTAATTTTCAGTAGAAAGGATACTTTGGTTGGAAATAATGAAGTTGGATCTGGCTCCCCATTGTACATCTTGGTAATATTCTTAACATCCCTGGATCACAGTTAATCAAATTTCAAGTCATGTGATCCACTTTGATTTTTTTTTAAATTTGAATGTTTCCATTTTGAGGAATATTGGGTTTTTTTTTTAATGGTGTAAGAATGTATACATTTGAATATTGCTTTATAATCTTGTGATAAACTAGTTCCATTTTCCCCAGAACTTAACTAATCATGCTAATTGTTTGAGTCCTTACTGAAAATGCTAACTCCCTAGCCAGTGTGTGGCCCTGCAATTCATACTAAGAAAGCATGGTCTGTTTAGACAGTTCAGTGTGTGTTAGACTAATCATGATTAATTCCAATTTACTTTTTCCAGTAAGCTTTGAAAATTTTCTGTATTGGATACAGTTAAATGCAAAATGTTTTGAGAGAGGGAAAAAAAGAAAACAATAACAAAACCAAAACCTGTCTTAGAAATTTGAATAGGAAATTTTCTCAGCAATTCAACACTAGGATTTTGCTAATGTGATAAATGATTGGGATTCTGTCCCCCAGGACCTCCAAACTGCAAGCCACAGTGGAAGCCTGGATTCCCACCTATGACAGGTGTTTCCCTGGTGTACTCAAGGGCAGATTCTAATAATCAAAGGGAGTAGCCACCTCTGGTTTGCCTTTAGAAGGAATAAACTGTCACTTTCCTTCTCTGAATAGAAAGGTTCTGTCTATCTAGAGCAGCTGCTGATAAAAGAAACTATCAGACTATAGTGACCCTTTCCCCTTATAAACACTCTTCTCATATAGAGGAGAAATTGGGGCAGCAGGAAAGGAGAGCTGGTGGCCTAGCTGGGAGAAGGCAGTAAGCTCTGCTCTCTATCTGGTCTGAGGATGAAAGGAAGCCTTTATTTTCTGGCCCTGTGAATTTCAAGTGCCTTTGAGGAAGAGAAGTTAGGAAAATGATGCCTGATTTATATACATGTGGAATTTACTCAGGAGCAGGGAAGGGCCCTCAGTGTAAATGTAATTTATCATTTTTTCATGGAAATTTCTAAAGAAAGGGAATATATATGGCTTGCAGGCTTCTGGGTGGATTTCCTCTGGGATATTTTAAAAAGCCAACATAAATATTTCAACAGCAGTGTGTTAATGTTATTGCATTCAAAAGCTATAAATTTGCTGCTATCTGATGCTGACAGTTGTTTGTTCAGTCTCACAAAGTTGCCATTGCCCACCTTTCTGGGAATCCAAGGCCATGGGATATTGAAGGAGACCTGAATGCCATTCCAGAGCCCTGTTAGCTGCCTAGTACTGCTCCCCACAACCAAGCTGAAAGGGAATTTCATTTCTACCTATCACTCAACCACCTTCTTTCCTGAAGATTAGGTTATCTGAGAGTAAAATATGTATATATACAACCCAGCACCCATGTCTCCAAGCCAACACCAGCCTACTATGAAAAGTTCCCATTAAGAACCATGGCAAGGGCTGGAGAACTGGCTCAGGAGTTAAGAGCACTAACTGGTCTTGAGGAGGACCAAGGTTCAGTTTCCAGCATCCACATAGCAGCTCATAACTACTTATAACTCCAGTTCCAGAGGATCTGACACCCTTTTCAGACTACAGGCTCTGGCATGCACGTGGTACACATAATCTTACATGGGCGCACACACAAATAAATAAATAAATAAATCCTTTTTTAAATCATGGCAGTAAGACTCTGAGGAATGGTCCACACAACTGCAGAATTCTTTCAATTTAAGTTTTACAATCATGCCCATTTATCATCGAAATCAGAGTAAGCTCAGTGTTGCAAGATTTATAGCGACCGCCGTGGAAAATCGCCTCACAAGTGTTAATGCCACCACCAACAAAAATCCTGTTCAGTAATATAGGGATTTCTACTTTGAGCTAATCATTCCACCAGCAGTTATACAATCCCCTGAACTTCTAATCAAATGCTACATTCAAATTGCTTATGAAACCCTCTTTACCTGCATCATGGTGAGATTGAGGCTTTTACTTCCCAAATCAACTGAAAATTGATTGTAAGCACTCGTTAGTATGAAGGCAATAATAGGTTTAACCCCTGGTCACTCGAAGAAGGGGAGGAAAAAATATAGTAACATTTTCTTTGTCTGTTTTCCTTCCCAAGGGCACTTTAGATGATGCGGATGACCCCAGCACAAGCGTCGGAGCCTATCACTACATGTTGGAGTCAAATATGGGGAAGACCATGCTAGAGTTTCAGGTGCCTGACTTCCTGTCATTTGTTTATTTGGTGATCCAATCCAGAAACCTGGGAGACTTGCAACTCTTATCACTTACATCTCCTATTCCAATAAGCTGCTTTGAAAACGATTTTACCTCCTAGAACCCAGCATGGTGACTGTGTCTTAGGCACACTTTACAAAACTGAAACAAACAGCAAACATGGCACAATCTTTGCCAAAATGCTTCAGGACCCCTGTCTTATCATAAAAAAGGAAGCTATAAAGGGTCTCTTTCTCTCTCTTAAAATCTAACACAAAACAGAGAAGAAAATAACAGGGAAAAGAATGGCACAAGAGAAAAAAGGTAAATTCATTTAAAACCCTGCAGAACTATGTGTGGTGCCTGTCACTTTTCATCTCTAAGAAACAGGTGAAGAACCCAGTCTTATGCCCAGTAACACTCCACTAACTTTTCAAGACTGAGAGCCTTCTGAAACAAAGTCATATATTTTAAAGCATTGAGTGTAGCCATCTAGTTCTTAACTTTAGTCATAAGTAAGGGTGTCCATGGCGTATATTAAAAGCATTCTTTCAGTTCTGATACTTGTGTTAAATAAGATCTGCCTCTTCCCCACTGTAAACCAAACCAAAAAAAATTAGCAACCTGTAACCCTGTTGTGCACAACTGACAAGCAGTAAAAGGCTGAGGAGTTATGTTGTACATAGTCCTCAATTTAAGATTTTTCACTTTTATGATGGTATTAAAGCATGCCTATATAGCCATTCTGTTTTTCTCTTTCAATATAGTTCTCAGTAAACCAAGTAAGATAGTCAATGCTTCATTACAAAATTTTGCCTAGCTGCAAGCCAGTGTGTTTTGAGCTTGTTGAAGGTAGGCTGTGCTCAGCTATGATGTTCACCAAGTTAATTGTATCATATGCATTTTTGGCTTACCAATGTTTTCAGTTTATAACTGGCTTATTGTGTCTATATTTTTAAAATGAATAATTAGATTAATAACAATAGTATTAATATCTGATACTTATTGGATGCTTTCTTTGTCTGGCATACCATTTAACATTTGACAGTTATTATCATAATTTACAACAGCCATATGAGGTAGTTGTTATGATCCACAAGATATTACTGATGGAAGTTCATCATCGCTTAGCAAATTGCCTAACCAGGATTTGACCCATGCAGGCTGATCTCTTTCCTTCTCTCACACATCTGATTCTTCTCACATATTGGCCTGGGCAGATGAAAAATCTGTAGTGATTGAGCAGGAAGTGTTTGCTCTTCTAAACAACTGAACTTGAATGAAGTCATACATTCCACAACATAGAACACTGGTAAAAATTAATATGCAATCGTATAGCCAAGAGCTTTTACCACTAGAAATATTTATCATGGTAAAACTTAACCATGGTGTTGCAGTTGAGACCCCACACCAACAACTTTAAAATATCTTGCAGTCTTTCTGGCTAATGGCACACCCTTGCTCATTTGGCTATATCTCTCCTACTCAATTTTTAAAGTCACTGTTTGTCTTCTTTCTATTAGTTGTCCATGTGACTAAAGCAAAATGTTTCCATCCATCTTAAATCTTTGTCAGCCAACCCTTAAGGAACCACAGTTTCATGGCTCCTCAGTGTATACTGTCTTGACTTGGAAGTGATCAGCTTTAAAGTCAACCCTCTTGGAGAGGGTGAGGACATGTGTGACTCAGTGGATATGGCCCAAGCTATGGATTAGCCTTATTCTGTTCTTTATCTCAAAGTCTGTTTCTTCATTTGTGTGTAAGTCCAGGGAAATAATAGTGTTGCCTCACAGTGCTGATGCAGAGGACATGAGGAAAAGAGTCTAGAACAGTCTCTGGCATCTGAGAAATGCTTCATGAAGGTTAAAGATTATTCTGTGTATTTATGAAGGATTGCTTCACTTGAAATACCAGGGGCTTCCTGATGGATGGACCCACCTGACACCTTCACATGACTTAGGTAACTCCCTGCCCCAAATGCTTCAAGGCCTCTGCCTTGCAACAAAAAGGAGAAACTAAAAGGTCTGTGTTAAGAAGAAGAAAAAAAAAAAAAAAAAAAAAAAAAAAAAAAACTAACCCCAAACAGAGAAAAAAAAAAAAAAATGACAGGGAGAAGAATGGCACAATAGAAAAGACATGTTCATTTCAAACCCTACAGAATTCTGTTGTGCAGTGCCTGTCACTTTACATTTCTGAGCTTCCCTGTTGGGAGACTCAGTTTTTTGTCTATAAAACAGAATGAGTAGTACCATTTTATAGAGTTAAAAAATTGGATATTTATAATGCATTTAGCATAGCTCTTCTCATAAGGAGGAAAATCATTTACTTTCTTTCTTCCCTATCCATCAAAAGAATATTTTACTTTTTAAAGTTACAGACTAAATGCTGCCTTCCACTGTGCAAAGAAGCTGGCATGAGGCTGATTTAGTAGCTATTTTCAGAAAAATCAAGAATGGTCTTGAACATGATTGGCTTAGTCTGCCAAAGATGGAGAAGTGAGCACATTGCTTTTTCTTAAAACTCCTCCCCCGTACTATGAAAGGTTCTACTCAACACCCCCCCTCCCCCCGCATTAAAGTAATAATAATTGACTTGCTTTGGGGTGTTTTCTGTGTGGTCTCTGTAGTAATGTATTTAAATATGTGTAAAAATTTGAATCACGCTGTGGAAGCTTTATAAAGGAGGATGGGTGCAGTATAGGGACAGAAGAGAAGAGGAAGACAGGGAAAATCTAAACCCCTCCCCTCAGGAGGGAGATTGGCATCCAAGAACCAGAGGACCTGGGAGCAAGGACTTTTCCCTCTGCCGGCCTGCTGGAACCCAGCAAGTTCTGTCAGGGCCTTGGCAGCTGCATCAGCTTGTATCTGCACATAATAGGAAGTGAGTACAGACTGGGTTGTTTCTGCAGAGGTACAATCCAGTGCCCCCAATGGGTCACAGACACGTGCTTGGATCTAGGGATGGATTACTATAGCATAGCAAAACAGGGCTGGTGTCTCCTGCCTGCCCTCCGACTTTCAGGGGGGCCTGGTCCGCAGTCAGCGCTGTTGAAATGTGATAGGCTTCTGCTTACCTTCACTTCGTGGGAGGGAATCAGCTGCCTGTTTTGAGGTAGGCTTGCCAGGGAGAAAACTGCCTGCTGTTGTGGGGGGAGGGACAGGAGCGACAACCAGCGGACGCTGGGTCTTGTCAAGGTCAGATTCTAGGCAGACTTTGACTGAAGCTGCTTAATATATTTATTCTGAAGACTAATGCAATCCAAAGAAGAGTTGTTTATTTACATCTTTGCTAAATTCTCCAGGTCGCCTTTTAAAACCTCATCCCATAAACAAATTTCCTCTTAAATCCATTCTCTTGGGTGGGGAGATGGTGCCCACCTGTTTTTCAAGTTCTCCATTTACAGTGTTTGTTTTTCTTATTTTTGATGAAACACAGAGCTGAGCCAGTCTCCCAGACAAAGTTCCAGAAAGAAGCAATGAGCCTTTTCTCCCACTCAAACCAGCTGAGAAGCCATTGTGTCTAGCAGGAGTCCAAACCAGGCAGAGCTCTAAGGACAGAGCCCAGTTGTTGCAGGATTAAATGGAATGAATGACAAAGTGAACCGGTAAAGCTGCGGAAAGAGCTGCAACTGCAGAGGAAAGAAAACACAGGCCTTATTCATCATTCAATTTACAATTTACTTTGCTGATCTAGACCAGTTATATAATTTGTGGGGCCCAATGCAAAATAAAAATGCAAGGGCCTTTGTTCAGAAACTATTAAGCTGAGTATCAAACCAAGGGCAGCACTGGAGGGCTGGGTAGACCTCACACTTAAGAAGCCAGGCTTAATCTTGAGACAGACCCAGAAGGGGCCAGACAAGGTGACCCAAGTGAGGCAACTGTCTGCCGCACAAAATTGAAAGAGGCACTAAAAAGCTCAGTGATCAAATTATACTAATATTTAATAAAATCAGAACAAATGCAAAACGTCCTCCTAATAAACAAAATAACATTTGTTTGTTTAAACTAGGCTTCACTATGTAGCCCTGGCTGGTCTGGAACTCACTATGTAGACCAATCTGGCCTTGAATTACAGAGACTCACCTGACTCTGCTTCCTGAGTGCCAGGATTAAAGGTGTGCACTACCACACCCTGCTCCAGTACCAACTTTTAAAAGACCCTGAACATTGGTGATTGGTGAGTCATCCCTCCATTCATCTTCAGTCTTGCCTCATAACACCTCACCCTAAGCAAGCACCCCTCACTCTCCTTTTGGTTCATCCAGCACCCACTCCCCTGCCCGCCCACCTCCACATCCACATAACAAACTTCACAGGTGACACCAACTTCCTGTACAGGGCATGGAAGCTACAATACCGGGAAGTAAAGACCAGGAAACAGAAACATGGAATCCGGTGAAATTAGAAAGCAATTCCTCATGGAAGTCCACCGGCCTTCCCCACGAAAATCTGCAATACTGCATGGATTTCCAGTGGGATAGACAGGTTGCAAGTGCTACCTATTGAGGGAGTTGTGGAGATCAAGACTTAGGAAGGGACATAAAGAAGTAGGACAGGAAGTACATGTAAATATTTAAGTATTCTTTAATAAAATGATGACAATGAGTATTTCTACAAAGGAGAGCAGAAACTAGATCAGGATAGAATGTAAGAATGTGAGAAAAATCATCTTAGAGATGACTTTAGGAACCAGAGCAACACTGAGGGGAAGTACTTTTTAGACAAACCAGAGCAGGGAGGTGGATGATCCTCCTCCAGAGGCAAAAACAGTTCAAGTCTCTTCAGGAAGCTTTTGAGAGAGGAAGGTGGCTAAGGGGCATGAGAAAGCTTTCTGGTTCTGTTCACACAGCTCTAACTGTGGATTCTAAAGTCTTGGGGGAACTGCTGGGAGGAATGATGGCAGTGCATCTGCAGAGGTGGCCCTTGGTGCATAGATAAGAGTGAGAGCCCAGAGGACACTGAAGAAGAAAACACATCAGCAGCAAACTCATCAGAGATGGACTGATGAGCCCTTATTAGCATTAAGTTGTGTCTCAGACTGGACCACAGGGATGCCAAGGTAGTGTCAGGATGAATGTTGGCAGCCCTCAACACAAGTCCAACCCATCTGTTTTCATTGACAACTTTACTTGGCTATGGGTGTAGCTCAGTGGTTGGGAACTTGATGAGCATGCTCAAGCTCCTGAATCTGATCTCCAGAACTGAAAAAAAAAAAATTAAATTAAAAAACCTACTAATCAGGAGGCTGGAGAGATGGCTCAGCAGTTAAGAACACTGACTGTTCTTGCAAAAGACCCGGGTTCGAATCTTAGGACCCACAAGGCAGCTAACAACTGTCCATAACTCCAGTTCCTGGGGATCTGACAGCCTCTTCTGTCCTCCTTGGGCATTGCACAACATGGGTGCACTTACCTACATGCAGGCATAACACTCATACACATAAAATAAAAATAATAAAAAATATTTTAAAAATAAAATTAAAAACCTACTAAACAGATTTAGGGTAGGTGAGGGATCAGCTGGAGAACTAGAGTAGCATTTTCCCTTCATTTAAAAAAAAATGGAGACAGGGCAAGGAAGATAGCTCAGGTTAAATTGCTTGCTGTTCTAGCATGAGAATCTGTGTACTATCCTCAGCATCCACATAAAAAGTTGGCATGGTTACACCAGCCTATAATCCCAGCTCTGGAGAAAGGAGGCTCCCTAGGGCCTGCTGGCAAGCTAGACAGTCTAGCCATATCAATGAGTTTCATGTTCAGTGAGAGACCATAACCCCAAATAAGCTGCAGAGCAATTGAGGAAGACAGCAGCATGCACTCTCACTTTTTTATTAGTGTAGTGATGTGATGGAGTGAAACTGTGTGGGGCCTAGAGAAGAGAGACCATGATAGGGTACTTCCCTGGACATTTGACTCGGGACCTTGGACAGCAGTGGGTCTCTGGGGGTTTGGAAGAAGCAACTTGGCTAATATCTGTGTTACATTCAATTGATGGAAACAAATGGTTTTGCCTCTTCTCATTGTACAGTGAAGCAGATACCAAGTGCCAAACTGGATCTCAGATTGAAAAGAAGCGGTTCTGACTTGAAATAGCAATGTTAGAGCAGAGAATAGTGCTGCTTTCTCCTCTGATAGTCTTACCGTTCTAAAATGAACCAGATAATTCTAGGAGGCCTGAAATCTCAGACTGCATATCTGACTTTTAGAATAAAAATGTTTCCTGAGCAAACAGAAGTAAAGACAGTCAGTAAAAGACTGGTTTTATGAATAGTCAACAGGACATCTGTCTCAATGCTAAGTTTTCATAACTATTTTCTTAAGCAGGAAGTCCTTTAATTATAAGGAGTTTTTTTCCAATGATTATGTGGTTGTGGTTTATGGTATCGATCCATAATTGATGTCTTTCTTGAACAAAAACAAAATCCTTCAATAAGTGAAACAGATAATTTCAGTGGAAAACTGCTAGTTGTAATCACATTAGGAAAACATAAATTTTCAGTCTGCTGGTCCTCCTCTGCTTGCCTTGGTCAGGCAGGGAAAGGGGACGGAACTGAACCTCTGTGTGTCTTAAGGTAAATACAACCACATTGTCCACAGTTCAAGGCACTCCTCTTGACCAAACTTATAAACCTGAGGGTATGTTACAGTTTCTATAGTTTGTCCATTGTATGTTTTTATATTGTCAAAAGATAAACACATGTAATTTAAAGACAGAGTTAACTTTTATGCAGGATTTCAGAATCAGGCAAGTCTTCATTCCTTAAAGCAGAATAAGTGTTTCTATGAGCTGAGCAAAGGAGGTTGGGTTTATAGGAAGAAAAGAACTGGAGAAAAAGGGGAAAAAATGAAAGTATGTTGTTGGTTATTTCAAAGTTACTTATAAAGGCTAAGTCAGTGGGGACTTAGCAGTCTCTGACTAAAGCAGTCTCTCTTTCTCTCCCTGTCTCTGAAAAGGCCAGATAATTAGTTTTATATTTTATTTATTTATTTATCTGTCTACTTATTTATTTATTTTTTGGTTCCTTACATTCAGCCCAGGGGAGCAAACTATAGATTCCAATTCTACTGTTTACAGTATGTATAAAAGCATGATCGGAATGCTGGGGTAAAGCAATTAACAGGGCCATTGGGACATCATAGAGCAGACGTTGCTGTGGTGACTTATAGGATGCTTGGCCCTATAGTCATCACAATGAAATAAGCTGGGTCTTCGGTAATGGGACTGTTAATCCCTAGTAAATGGGGAAAAAAGGTTCACAGGGGTCTTGGTATACTATAGAGACAGAAGATTATCTGAAAGCAGGATCCATCATGCAGTTTCATGCTGAGATGGGACTTTTCAACAATGTAGCTGTTTGTGGGGGGCACTCATGCTCCTGTAAGTAAAGTCAATAAATTCATTGGTTCACCAAGTTGGGATTGGATGGAACTGTTACTGTGGTTTGTCTGTTGGTGCCCTGAAGTGAACAGGCATTTATTCAAGTCTCCAGGAAAGATGGCAGAAGCATTCCCATTCTAAGCAGAGGATTTTAATGTCTCTCCTTTGGGGCAGGTGAAGTCATCTTTGACAATGTCCCAAAGGTTGTCTGGCACTTTGGTACAGATGGATATGATCCAATCTTGTGCTATCTTAGGATACAAAAAGGCACATGAAGTTGGGGCTCAAATGCCCCTGATTAGGAGTGGGGCAAAAGGTGAATGGGAAATGCTTTGAGAGATGGGAAGGATGTGGGCTTAAGCTCTTGTTGACAGAGGTAGTTGGTTCCAAGTGGATCCTGAAGTACAGAGGGCAGTTTGAACCCTCAGGCTGGGTAGCAGCTGCTGTGGGGGCCACCATGTGCTGAGTTCATGGCTCTGGAACCAAAGCAGTTCCTCCCTATGGTCCCTCTCCACAGAGTCGCAAGCATGGATGATGTTCCTGCTGATGTGAACACTGACGTCTCCCCTGATGGTCCTGGGGGCTGCTTCGGTTGAGTCAGTGTGTCCTATCATAGCCCTTGAGATGTGGACCATATCTTCCCAGACCTGAACTAGGGCACACGAGCAGGCGCAGGCCTGGGATGCATGGCCTGCACAGCAGTGCTCTCATTGAGGTGTACCTGAAGAAGCAGTCCATGGCGCAATCTGGAGGGGCCTCTTATTTATTTATTTTTTGTTGTATATGTTCGAATGTATTGCCTGCATGTATCTCAGTGCACCTGAGCCGTGCAGTGCTTGTGGAGGTCAGAAGAGGGCATTCGATTCCGTGGAACTGGAGTTACAGAAAGTTGTTAGCCACCATGTGGTTGCTGGGAATCGAACCTAGGTACCACTGCAAGAGTAGCCAGTGCTCTTAAGGGCTGAGCCATCTCCCCAGTCTCAGTTAATTATTTTCAGCTTGCTGGCATGTAACCTTAGCATGAGCAATTCCATTTTGATTTGGTCCATTTGGTATAAGAAAGACCTTGGCCCAAACCAAATTCCTATAAATTATACTCAATAATATTTACATATTTATTTTTCAGATTAATTCTTAAAACTTCAATAGTTTTCTTTAGTGGAATTTGGTCATATAACTCAAAATTCAAAATATTTTCTATAGAATTTTCCTATTCTTTTTCCTCCAAAGTTACCAAACTCACTTTGTTTTTGGCTTTGTACATATCTGATTATTTTTGGTGCTAGCGATCCAGACTTGGGTCTAGTACATGACAAACACATACTCTACCACTGAGCAACAGCCTCAGACCCTGGTACCAGAGTCTTTGGTATCTTGTAAGAACTCCTTTGTGCATTTACAAGATTCTTATTTATATATGTAAGAATCTTCTGATCTTAAAACAGTAGCACAGAGTACACATGGTTGTATACTTTTCTCCTATTTTAATAATACCATACAGTTCTTTACATTACAGCTTAGAGAGTAGTGTTTATATTCTTTATGTATGCAAAGCATTCAGTAGTATGAATTTATCATACTTTAACTGTTTCTCTAAAAATTAACATTCAAAAGGTTTCCAGTCTCTGGCAATTAAAAGATGATTTAATATATGTACAACCTTCTTGTACATTATTTCTTCCACCTGCTGAAAATAATTAAATAACTTTCTATTTGCTTGGGGGTTTTGTGTGTGTATTTATTCATTTTCTTTGTCTTTTTGAGACAATCTCCCTCTAGCTGGCCTGGGACTCACTGTGTAGACCAAGCTGGCCTTGATTTCACAGAGATCTGCCTCCCTCTGCCTCCCCCCAGATAACTTTCTGAATGTACAGTAGTTGTAGTGTATGCTTTCTCGCCAATTATTTAGTCGTTTTTTTTTAATATGACTAAGATAAAGCAAGGTTGTGCAGGATCACTTCTTCAAGAGCCTGGGAACTGTGTTCTTTGAAAAGTCTTAAAGTGTTCTGGCAGTGTTGTAAATCCTGCTTCCTTCCTATATTTGGTGGCCAACTTCTGCCCTGCTCAACTCTTTGACTGCCATACATTCCTGCTTTGAGACCAATGATGAATGTTTGGGTTTTGTAGGAACTGATGACCATTTTCCAACTACTGCACTGGAATGGAAGTCTAAAAGCGCTTCGTGAAACAAAGTGTTCTCGACAGGTGAGACTTTCTGATCAAGATAGGTGTTACATGGACGAGGCAGATCATGCGTCATACTTTTAGAGACGTTTCCTTTATTCAGGTCTTTGTTTAAATTTTATACTTATCGACTGAAACTACTATGTATTTCTTTGTTTAAATTTTTTGCTTATTTTTGAGTAAGAACGGGGGGATAATGAATAAATAACTGAGTCAGGGACTGACAGACACTAAGAATGTTGACTGCACATAGGGATGATCGGAACACCTATACTGAATGCAGAATGAAGTAGCCATTAAGACAGAATTGGATTCTATGTCAAGTGCAGAACCTACCCTGTGCATCTGCCCTGCCTACTTTAGATCTGTGCCCTCTTGTACCATCCAGCACAGAAGGAAAGAGAGTGCACTGCTTCTGAAACCTCCCTGATGACAGGCAAAATCATTTTAACAAAAGGTTATTTTTCAGCCATCAAAAGTCCCCCCGTAAGCAACAGAAATGATTACAAAATTGGACAAGCTGGCATTTAATCACCTCTATTTTTTGGTTTAGAAGTTTCCTCTCTGTTTTCCAGAGACAGGGTCTGACTACTTCTTCATTACTTATGAGAGGAACCCTTCCTCTTTTTAACAGCAAATGTAAACTCCTTCCTGAGTATTTAATGGTTTTCACCTGTTGTCCTCTGAGATTTATTCTCTTTATCCTTTCTTTACTCACCATTAGAACTTGAAAGACAATAGTTTATTTTTGAGAATTTCTTAATAGGAATTTGTATGAGGAACAAAGCCTCTATTTGTCAGCAAGACGAGGCTCAATGTAAGAGTTTTCCATGCACTGCAGCCCCAGTAGTTTTTAGTTCTTTGCTTTAAAAGTCTGGCTTTCAGGGGCTGGAGAGATGGCTCAGCAGTTAAGAACACTGACTGTTCTTGCAGAAGACCTGGGTTTGATTCCCAGCGTCCACATGGCAGCTAACAAGTGTCTGTAACCCCAGTAGTTCAAGGTGGTCCGACAGCCTCTTCTGTCCTCCGTGGGCATTGCACGACATGGGTGCACTTACATACATGCAGGCATAACACTCATACACATAAAATAAAAATAATAAAAATGTTTTTTTTTTAAAGTCTGGCTTTCAAAATGTCAAAAATGGAAAAGAAATGAGTAGCGGACAATGGCTTGGGCTATTTTTTTTTTAATTTCCTTTGCTTTTATGAAAGTCCTTTGAAATATGTTGGGGTGGTTATAATCACTTTTCCATGATTGTTTTTAATTTGTTAAGGTCATAAATAAATACCATATGTTCTCGAAAATAAAAAATAAGCAATGCATCCACCCTGTATGGTCAAATATATATATGACAGCATGATGTATTGACAAATTTTTCACAGAAGAATTGAAGGTAGTGGCTTATTTTTAATTGTTTGTAAAATCAAGAAGCTGTGTACCAGGAAGGTCTCTTTCTGATATTAATAATAATTCCTCCAGTCCATGATATGTTTTTTAGTTCTTTCTGTGCTTACTATGAGCCATTTGCCCTGTTTTTTTCCTTATGATAACAGAGCAGAGTGGCTAGGAAGTTGACTCTCTGGGTTTCAGTGCCCTGTTCTGAGGTTCCCTTGACCAGATGCTTCCTCCTTTCTGTAACAGGCATGACCAAACCTCACTGTTTCAGTTTGTCCTCAAAGATCTTTTCTTCTTTCTGTCTTCTGAAAGGCAGTAATACTGGGCAGAAGGTTCCAGTAAAATTATAAAGTAATAGTCTTTCCAGATGTCACAGAAATACATTTTCAAAGATAGGCTGGTATTTTGTAGAGACCCGGAGCTTTGTCTTGTGAACATTATTGTCATGCTTAGTGTTATGTTTTGACTTAGTATGGAGTAGCAGTCTTTTAGGACCAGATTAGTTCATCATTTCCTTTTCAGAAGTATGTCAATGGGATTTGGTTTCAGATTTTGGAAATCAGCATTCTTGGAACACCCTATGACAGGATGGATGGGGGAGGTAAGGAAGGCATTGCACACATGTGTCCTTGCTTCTCTTTACTGATATTGGGAACTTTTGTTTCTTGGCTCCTAGGAAGTCATCTCCTATTATTCCCAGTATTCCTTAGATGAAAAGATGCGCAGCCACATGGCCCTGGATTGGATCATGAAGGAGCGGGAGTCACCGGGAATTCTCTCTCAGGAGCTACGTATGGCCCTGAGGCAGCTGGAGGAAGCCAGGAAAGCAGGACAAGAGCTACGATTTTACAAAGAAAAAAAAGAAATTTTGAGCTTGGCCCTGACTCAGATCTATAGTGACCCTGACCCCTCCTCACCCAGTGATGACCAGCTGAGCCTCACGGCCCTGTGTGGCTATCATTAGCCAGGTCAGGTCCCAGGTGCCCCCAAGGACTCTAAAATCAGGGATCACTTTGATGGAGGTTGCTATGGATATTAGCATCAGTAGCTACTACCTGAAGGCTGTGTTGACCCCTACCATTCACAAAAGAGAGACTAGTAAGATTCTTATAGACCCAGACATCCTGTTTCATATATGGTTTCAATCACATGCCCAGCAGTTCTATTTTGGAATGAAAGGATGAAGACAGAACTGTTTAGAAAGTATTTTTCAGGGCCTGAGCCAATCTAAAGCCTAGCTGACATGTGCCTTGCTAAGTTACATGCATTGTTTCAAAAGAATGGGCCAGTATAGCAGCCTCCAAAAAACCAGCAGCCAGGACTAGGAGAAATAGCATGATAGCATTCTTTTAAATACTTAAGATTGAATGAATAGTATGAATTGTTTTAAAAAATCAACAAGAGTCAGAGTCTTCTTAAATCCTCCTGAAAATTAGCCATGATAACAACAAATGTTCTATTTCTCAGACCAGAGGAAATTTAGCTACCTAACTGCCCTATTCTAATATCCTAAAAAAAAAGGTAATATAGTATGTAATGTTAGGTAGATTTCATTTTAAAATATTGTTTTAACAAAAGTTATACCACTTCTCATAACAAGGCTAAACACCACCAAAACGAGAATTTTAGACTTTTGTATTCCTGAAAAGGAATTAGGAATTTTTTGTGTGTGTTGAATAAATTTTCGAGTAAAGAAACTTTCTATTTAAAGTAATTTCTTCCACAAAATCATTACTTTTTACATTCTTATTTCAAAACCAGCATACTTTCCCCATGTTGGGTGTGATCTTTATGTGAGGTACATCTTTATTGTGTTTGCAGTCTTTGACAATGGCCATCTCAAGACGACGGTATCAGATTAGATATAAGAACAGGATTTAGATGGGACAATATCCAACCCATCTTCTGTTCTACAATTAGAACACTATACCCATTCTGAAAACAGTTGATCTCTTTTTCCCATCTGATCAAAACTGCCCCTTGGAGTACTAATGGAAGCTACAGCAAAAGTAACAAAACTCAGAATCTCAGCTGGTCCCTTTGGTGCTCATTCAATAGCAAATCAATTTTCACTAAGACCTTGTGGATAACAGTACAACACACACACACACACACTCCTGGCACAGAGATGCTCAGGGCTGAGGAACAAAGCAAGATTCTTTTCTCATCTTGTTCTCAATATTTCACTGTGGAAAAGAAAGTAGAGTGAAGGATTCTCTAAGAATGTGAAGCCCTGAACCCCACTTATTTGTTTGTTTGTTTTGTTGTTATAAACGCTTTGAAAAATCCAATAAAAGTGTGTGTGTATGTGTGTGTGCGTGAGAGAGAGAGAGAGACAAAGACAGAGACAGAGAGAGACAGAGAGAGAGACAGAGAGAGAGACAGAGAGAGAACTATATTAGTTATTTTCATCATTGCTGTGACAGAGTGCCTGACACAAACAACTCAAGGAGAAAAGATTTCTTTGGGTTCATGGTTTCAGAGGCATCAGTCTATAGAGGTCAGGAGGCTACTGCAAAGAGAACAAGTTTGCATCATGGCAGCTAAGAAGCAGAGAAAAGGAATACAAGAAGAGGCCTGGGCAAGATGCAGTCCCAAGGACACTCCTGCAATGGCCTACTCCTTCAACCAGGGTCTACTTCCTACCATCTCCAACATATTGTAAATCCATCAAGAGATTAGTCCATCAATGAGATTAGAGCCTTCATGGCCTAATTTTCTCTAGAAATGGTATTACAGACACTCCCAGTGCTGTGCTTTCCTCATCTCCTAAGTGTTTCTCAGTATAATCAAGTTGTCAATCAAAACTAACCACAACTCATCAGATCCAGATTTTGCCTCGGGGCACAGATACTTTTCTCAAATAGGATATAAGAAGCATTTGCACAGCAATCACCTGGGGGGTCCTTGTCTAAAAACACAAGTTCCTGGGCTATACTTCAGACCAACTAAGCAAATTCTAGGAAGTTCTAGATTTACCAGTTTGCCCAGGTACTTTTGACTGCACTTCAGTCTTAGATAGCCCAGTCTGAAATTACTTAATACATCCTGCACTGAACAGTGTAGCCTTGGCTTCTCAGGCAAGGGCACAGGAGGGAGTATCCCTTCCGGAAGCTAGAAAGTAGCAGAAGGGGCAAAGAGATATGACTATGCTTTAATCTTTTTCAAAAAAGCACTTGGGTATTGACACTGAGCATTACTTTTAACCACTCTACTAGAAAACAAACTACTACAACCTCTGTAATCTTATGATAGCATTCACTTCTTTCAAGCTAAGTAGACCTTGGTAACACTTTGGTCTGGGAGCAAAGCAGATGGTGAAAAACCAAACCTGATTCTGAGAGCTGTTGATCTTCTAGTGAATGCTGTTTACGTCATGAACTGCCAGATTGCTATTTATAGGCAGTTCTCAATATAAGCAGCAATCGTTTTCCTCAAGCTCATTTGTAAGTCAGTTGATTCAACCCTGAGGGTACATTTTTGTATAAGACCAAGGTCATAATTGGTAGTAAGTTTCCCAGACCAGCTACATTCTCCATACAGTATCTAAAATATTGATCCAGGAGCCCTAACATGGCTCTAGTTAATGTGAGATGAGAGAAAAGTAGAACAAGTCATTGGGGGCTCAACTCAGTAGCAGAACTCTTGCCTAGCAAGAGCAAGGCCCTGGCTGGGTTTGGTCCCTAGCTTCAAAAGTAGAACAAGGAACAGCTGTGTGTATAAATCATATACTGAAACATCTCCCTGAAGTGCATTTCTCAATTCTAGATTGGTTGTCCTGACAATATTTTCTTTCTGTCATCCCTTCCACCTATCTGCCTACTCATTCCAGTATCAGCCTGCCAGCACCCATCCACTCTTATTGTTTCTCCTGATCATAGTTTCTTCTACTAACTTGCTAAAAAACTGTAGAAAAAAAGAGATGACTTTTCCTACTAGGAGTACAAATGAGGATTTGGTGTCTCTCATGACACGGTTGTTCAAAGATGTGCACATACATGCATATTATTGCTTATGTCTAGGATCTGCTGGCTCTATTTTCACAGTGGTTCTGTCCTTGTGATGGCAAGATGGTATCCAGCAGAGTGAGACACCCCTATCCCAATATTCCCAATCTAAGAGCTGAGTACCATCATGGTGCTTTTGTTACATGTCCATTTCTGAGTTGATGGCTGTGGTCAGGCCTGTGTCACTTGTATGTTCCCTAGAAATAGCAGTCAAGTCAAGCCCATCTCAACAATTTAGACCTGGTGGAAGAGGAGGAAGACAAAATATGGATTCAGTTAGCAGAGGGGAAGTGGCTACTTTCCAAGACATTTAAGGACTGTTTCCTCCTCTACAGCCTTCAAAGACAAACAATAGAAAAAGGGCAGTCTCTCTAACCAAAAATTGGGAAAGAGACTTCTGGGTAAACAAAAGCAACAGATGCATATTATGAATACATTGTATCATTTTCAAAATTCAAATCCTATCTCAAAGGACAAACCATCACTATTAAAGATGTTCAAAATAATATTCTCCCCAGGGGGAAATCCAAAAACGTTTCCAGAACAATCACTTTGAAACAGACAGGCTCCCTGAGGACTCCTGAAGGGGACGGTGCTCATTTACATGGAAGAGTTCTTTTGCTCAGAGAAACCTAATCGCTCACATTACTCTGCAGTCACACTCCATATATATTCAGAACTGAGGGACTGGTGCTATGCAAGTGACTTACAAAATTTCCTCTAGTCTATTTCTGCTGGGCACTGGCTTTCATTATCAGTGACCAATAATACTCCTTAATAAGAGGGAACATAGTTTATCCAACAAGCAAAAATCTATAGTTGGAGCAAAACTACATATTTCAATAGTCCAATTAGTTTATTCATCCTTACTTGAAACTGAGTGATCTGAGTGATTTATAAACGTTAAGCATACTTCTTTCTGACTTTGAGCTATGACTCAGATGGTCTTAAAATGATTTGGGACACAATTTATTCTGAGGTAATCTATTGTGTCCCCAGTGTTCTAGTTCCACTAGTGCTTGTTGATGATATAGGGAAGCAAATAAGTAGCAACTGAAAGCAGGAGTGAAACTCCAGAGTGCCAGAAAAATAAAAAAGTCAACCTGAGACCATACTTAACTGAAACCAAAAAGAGGTAAATGTGTCACTCTTTCAGTCAATCAGTCAAATGATCTGAGCTATCTGTCATTATCTATCATCTATCTATCTATCATCTATCAATCATCTATCTGATCTGATCTAATCTAATCTAATCTAATCTAATCTAATCATCTATCTATCATCCCTACCTTTTTCTATTGGTTAAAAAACTTGGGTCTCGGGGCTGGAGAGATGGCTCAGCAGTTAAGAACACTGGTTGTTCTTGCAGAAGACCTAGGCTTGAATCTCAGCATCCACATGGCAGCTAACAAGTGTCCGTAACTCCAGTTCCAGGGGATCCAACGGCCTCTTCTGTTCTCTGCGGGCATTGCATGACACAGGTGCACTTACCTACATGCAGGAAATACACTCATACACATAAAATAAAAATAAATAAATAATAAATATATATAAATAAATATATAAAATAAATAAATATAAATAAATAAAATATTTAATGTATGTATATATACACATATTGTATTAGTGGTATTGTGGCCCAAGTTTTTCTCAAATTTTACTTATTATTTTTGTTTTATGTGTATGAGTGTATTGCCTGCGTGTAGGCAAGTGCACCTGTGTCATGAAATGCCCACGGAGGACAGAAGAGGCCGTCGGATCCCCTGGAACTGGAGTTATGGACAGTTGTTAGCTGCCATGTGGGTGCTGGGATTTGAACCTGGGCCTTCTGCAATATCAACCAGTGTTCTTAACCCCTGAGCCATCTCTCTGCAAAATATATTTTTTAAAAAGTAAGAGAAGAGACCAAGTATCATAAAGACCAAAATACAGATTCTCAAATGATAAATGATGACACATGAATACATTTGTTAAAGACTGGGTTAAGTAAATTAAGACAATTTTCCTTTATACTACCTTTTATTTAGAGCATTCTCATAGGCAACATGTTTTGCATATTTTTTTCCTCTGTGTTAATCCAGGACACTATCTCCTTGCCCAGTTTACTAGCTGTCTGTGAAAAGCCAGGGGGGCTTGGCTCGTACTCCACTGAAAAGAGGTTTCAACAGGCTTTGTCTGGCCACATGTGCAACTTCATCCCAGGCATTGCAAGTGTCACATACGTTGACAGTAGGATTTACAGGGTCTAAAATAAATCCCCTAAAAATAAAAAGTTAGAAACTACATGTTCATTTAGAAGAGAGCATGTTAAAGTTGAAAGAGCTCAGTTGAGAGAAAGACTCTCTAAGGGGAAGACGGCAGTAAGCCCATGGTGGAGAGGGAGGTTAATTGTGATACCTTAGAGTATGGTGCTTTGACCTGCTGAGTACTTTGATTTGCTAAAAATCTCTCTGGCCTTCTCCTTCCCCTTCACCCAGAGCACAGGGAGGGCTTTCTCTAACATTCTCTTATTTTTTAAAAAGATAGATCCTCCATAAAGGAACTCCACTGCCAGGTCCTGACCCCTAGGCCATCAACCAGGGAAGAGGAGACATCACACCCAGAGGAACTCTTGTCACAGACTGACACCTTTGGACAGGCTCCTGTGGGGCAGCTCTTATTTTGGAGAGACGTCTTGTTTTCATCATCAGACAACCTTTCATTCTGCACGCTACTCCCTCTCCTCTCCTTCCCTGAACTTGTCTCTACTTTTCCATTCGCCAAGCCCTTCAATCTTCACTTTGCTGGTTATGCTAAAAATGCAAATGAGCTTTCTCCTGTTCATCTTTCCACTGTATTATTTCACAAATTCAACTAAAATCTTAAGAAAATAGAATTTTTTCTCTCCCTCATAGTACCTATCACAAAACAGCTTTGTGTCCAACACCTTATTTTCCCTTTAAGCCTGAGATGTCATTTCTTTCCTGGACTCAATCTTCAATTTCTTTCTCATGGTGGTGTTATACAGTCCATTTGTTTTATTCAAATTATTTTGTATTTGCACACTGAGAATTAAAGTTCGGTGTAACTAATCAGAGAGAATTGACTTTGTGGACAGACATTCTCCTTTCCGTTTACTCCCAATAAAGCTGCTTTGTT